AGCAGGAAACAGCGTCGAAACACCCCTACATTTGAATCTACAGATGTCGTTAAAGACGCTCTTGAGATTCCGCCATTTAAAGTCACGTACGACCATAAATTACAACTCAGCTCATAAAACAATCACATTTATGGCTACGGTTTCATTAACGGCCCAGTAGAGAGCTGTCCCTTACACATTCTGAACTATAAAAGTACTCCGAGTAACATAACAAATGCAGCTAGCGTTCCCATGCTTCAAAGGCCAGCAGGTGTCAGGTTACGGTCAGCTGTTGACTTGGTGACTGACCCACCCAGCTCCTACTAAGAAAATATGACAAAACCATTCCAGACGCTCCTTCCAGGACTCACCTGGCCCGTCACGTTCTCCGTACTGCTAACCACGCTGCTAACCGTACACTGACCACTGCTTCGTATCCGAAGAGCTTCACAACGCTATCCAAGGGTGGCGCTAGCAGAGCGCCAGGTCTTCACCTCCCCTCTGGGTTCTCCGTCTCTGTTTCCTGCCACCAGGAACTAAATTTAGAGCCCACCGCTTTTAGCCTCCAAACTCCCTCCCAAGGTGCCCTTTACCCTCACCCATTTCTGCTGTAGGGGTGGAGTGGGTGGAGTAGGACGCCTACCATTTCATTCCATTAGGACCATTTCATTCTGTGTGTAGGACCTGTACTTTCAAATTCACACTTCATATTTAAAATGTATTCTCCAGGTTCTTTCTTACGCTACTGTACTCTATGAGTGAGTACTGACCATGTACTCGTACTTGCTCCCTGCATCACCAGTCAGATTGAATTTGGTAATAAAACCTGATTAAAGAAGCAAGGAAAATCATTTTATTTGTTAAAATAGGCAGATCGGAGATGGACTGTACCCAATCTTATGTGGCAAATATGAATTAGTACATTTTATAGTGGTTTAAAAAAGTTTGGGCTCCCCTGATCATTTTCAAGATTTTCCTTTATGGATCATTGGTTGTTCGGAACAGCAATTGCAATTAAATATATCATATACCAAACAAACACAGTGATATTTAAGAAGTGAAATGAAGTTTATAGGATTTACAGAAAGTGTGCGATAATTACTTAAACAAGAGTAGGCAGGTGCATAAATTTGGGCACCCCAACAGAAAAATTACATCAATATTTAGTAGATCCTCCTTTTGCAGAAATAACTCTCTAAACGCTTCCTATGGCTTCCAATGAGGGTCTGGATTCTGGTTGAAGGTATTTTTGACCATTCTTCTTCACAAAACATCTCCAGTTCAGTCAGGTTTGATGGTTTCCGAGCATGGACAGCCCGCTTTAAAACAGACCACAGATTTTCAATGATATTCAGCTCTGGGGACTGAGATGGCCATTCCAGAACGTTGTACTTGTTCCTCTGCATGAATGCTTTGGTAGAATTTGAGCAGTGTTTAGGGTCGTTGTCTTGTTGAAGTATGCAGCCCTGGAGCGGGCTGTCCATGCTCGGAAACCATCAAACCTGACTGAACTGGAGATGTTTTGTGAAGAAGAATGGTCAAAAATACCTTCAACCAGAATCCAGACCCTCATTGGAAGCCATAGGAAGCGTTTAGAGAGTTATTTCTGCAAAAGGAGGATCTACTAAATATTGATGTAATTTTTCTGTTGGGGTGCCCTAATTTATGCACCTGCCTACTCTTGTTTAAGTAATTATCGCACACTTTCTGTAAATCCTATAAACTTCATTTCACTTCTTAAATATTACTGTGTTTGTTTGCTATATGATATATTGAATTGAAATTGCTGTTCCAAACAACCAATGATCCATAAAGGAAAATCTTGATCAGGGGTGCCCAAACCTTTTCATACCACTGTAAAATAAATTAGCCCACGTGATAAAATTTAGTTTGAAATAAAACATGAAAGCTCTACCCTGGTTGCTAAGGAATTTGTAACCCAGCAGCAAAGCCTCTAATGGGAGAAACAGAAAAAAAGATGAAGCAAAAGGAGAGAAGAGGTGGAGGACGACGAGTGTGATGAAGAAAGGGAAGAAAGCGCATATTCTGTTCTGCATGCCTGGCACCAAAACGATGTGTTCATGACCAGATTTAGATGTACTGACTGTACTGAGCTGTGATGACAAAGAAGTGGGCGTTTGTGTGCACTGGATAAATCAAGCAAATCCAGGATGAAAACAAACACACACTGTGGCCCCTCACTCTACAGTTAACAACTACAAATAAATGTAAATATGACCAATATTAACTCTAATTTGATCCAAATTCTAATCCTAACTCCTAAATTCAATCTTGAATCTCAAAATGCCCCCTCACTCAGAGGGGACCTGAAAAATGTCCCTACAAGACAAGGTGTCCCAACACCTAACAAAAATGTCCCTACAATTACTAAGAACAAACACACTAACAGAGCAAATGGACGCTCCAATCATCTCTACACAAACCATGAAACCAAACCAGAGCAAAACACACTTTTTTTTTCGACAGGCAGTTAAAAAAAAAATGTTTTCAGCCATATATAAAAATGTATCAGGAATGACACCTGAGCTCCATTAGGGGTCAGTAAGGAGTCATCTGTCAGTTTGTGTACAGTAGCCACATCAAATTTCTACCATTACACCACCTTCAATTTTCTCTCTTAAATATTTACTGTTCACAGCAGGGATGTCAAACTCATTTTCACCAGGGGCCACATCAGCAATACTGTTCCCCTTGAAGGGCCAGTGGTAACTGAACGACTGTATAGCTAGTGGTCCGCGGACCAGTACCAGTCCATAGGTCAACTCTGCTGCATGAACTTTACTAAATGCTTTTAAACCTCCCGCAGGCCACACTTGACCCCTGGGCCTTGAGTTTGACACATATGACATACAGTAATATTTGAATACACAATTGGCAGTTTTTAAAATAAACTACAAGTCAATAATGCAGACAAGGGCAGTTTCTTAAGATCTGACCAGAAATATCAACTAAATATCTAACTAACAATCAGAGTCATGTTAAATACACAAAGGCCAACACACACAGACCTGGACCATCAGTACTTGTCTGTCTGGCATTTTAATCCAGACTGAAGTCTTGTCAGACTCTTTGCTGTCGTGCCTATCTTCCCAGGAGGCCTTAGCTTTGCTGCGCTTGCCAACAGCAGGTGGTAAAAATACAAAACTGCTCCAAATCTACCAAAGAGAAATCTGTTTTCCGTCCACACTGGCAAAATTTTAACTCTGATCATCTATATTTATTTCATGCCTAAACCGTGATGAAAATGACCGTCCTGGTTTACAAGAAATAGAACACAGCAGAAGTATCCAGGCTGTAGTAATCTCTCCAGGCGACCCATTATGTTGGGTTCTATTAAGTGGAACAATTGTCATTGTGAGACAAAAACGTAGCTGTTACTAAAGAAGCCATCTTAAAAGTTGTCTTATCCTTGTGTAGAAAAGTTTGTCAAAATTAGCATTAGCATTTTTAAAAACATGAGGTTACTTGAGTTTTAAAGATAATAATAAGTGGTGTTGGGTAATTTTGAAACTTCTGCTCGGTACCACAAAGTATTGCTACTACAGTACACCGCGTACCACCTCAGAAAATACTTGGATCTCCCAGTACCACAAGTATGAGCAACATTAAAAACACATAATAAACATATAATAAAAAAGTGAACAGATTTATTTTTTCCATTGGAGACTGGAGGGCGCCAAAGTTCCACCTGTGGCACGTGTACCATAGGTTGAGAACCAATGGTTTAAAGCCTGTGTCCTTGACATATTTTTCTTACCTTTGACATCTTCATCCTCCACGGTGGTAGTACTGCTGTCAGATGATTCCTAAAAAAAAGAGAGAGAGAGAGGGAGAGCGGGAGGGAAGGAGAGAGAGTTCAGTTCATGCTAGAGCAGAGTACTACATGTACTAATACTGCAGAATGTACACGCGAACACACTACGTGAGTCACAGTTACACCACAGGTCAGCAGATGAGGTACTTCACAAGGTTGGAGATCAAAATACAAAACGAGGACTATGAACATTAGTCGGAACTGTTAGACCGCTGTGGCAAATACAAACTCAAACCCCGTCGCATTTCCATTGGACAAATACTGTATGTGGTCATGAAGGCAATCATTTGGATTTTGTTTTTTTGTTTTCGACTCTTGCTCTGAAAGCACTTCTTTTCTTTCTGTGTGTGAAAATAACACTCGGCGGATCGATGACGTCTTCTCTCCACAGGGGGGCCTGTGTCTGGCTGAAAAACCCAATGCGATGTGATCCATCCGTCTTGTACATCGACAACAGAAGCAGAATCGATTGCCACAGGTTCTAAGCTGTCACGTAAAGATGCTTCACTCTATCAACCACCCCCAGACCCACCGCCCGTTTCATACTGTACTTCCTATGTACAGTCATACCTATAGTAGTTATCTTCTGATTCCAAATTAGCAAATTAAATGAGCCGGAATGTTCTCTGCATTTAAACAGGAGTAGAGAGAAGCATTTGGCCCAATTAATGAAGTGTGTGTGCTGCATCATCATCATTATCGTCAACATCACAAGCAGAAAGCACAAAATTGATTTCCTAGCCTTTTTAAGAGCAGCTGGAGACTGGAGGGAGAGGAAGAAAGTGAATATTAAAATATTAAAGTGTTTGAGGTTTTCATTTTCATGATTTTCACACCAGTGTTTGAGGAGGATGAGGAAGAGGAGGAGGAGGAAGAGAGCCATGGAAATCAGGCGCAAAACACAAAACAATGTTCTGATTAGAAAGTTCAAATGTTGATTGCTTCTGATATTTTAATGCAGTCTCCAAGGATTACTGACATCGTTCATTTCCGCTGTACTAACGCTAAACCTTTTGTGGATAACAGTATAAATTGTTGGGGTTTTTTTTCTTTCCCTCATTTGCTAAAATGTTGTTTTGCTAAAACAGAAAAACTGACTTGTCTGGACCTACGACATCCCTGCTCTATTCCAGTCCCAGGTCTCAAACTACAGTACGTCCATCACAGTAGCATGGCGCTGTACTTCTCCCTTCGACGTCACCTACTGGTAGTGCTCAAAGGTCGCACACACATTTAGCAGCAGTTTCTGCATCTAAACTCTTTTTTTTTCATCTGAAAAAACGTTTTTTCTTTTTTTAAGAAGTCTTAGAATAATTTTTGGTTCAAACCAAACATATTAACGATAATTACATTAAGATTTGGTTTAGATTTGGTTTATTTACCTTAATGTTAGGCACTGTATATCAACTGTATAATGCACAAATTTTTATTTTAGTTTACCATTGACAAACATAAGCACAGTAGCATGGCACTGTACTTCTCATTTGTGAGTGAAATACACACATTGATGCAGAACAATAAAAGATTTAAAAATGTGTAGTCGGTTAAAACAGTGTTAAAGCTAAAATTTTCTCAGCATAAAATGTCACATCAACCTTAATTAAGAAAATTAACCTGGTATTATTGGATGCAACAATGTTGGCTGTTAGTCTTATAGCATGGGTTAGTATTCATAGCATGTAGCTAAAGGGTCTGTGTAGTACAAGCGTACACGTGGGCAAATGCACACCACTGTTAGCATATCAAAGCCCAGTTGCACTCACACAAATGCACGAGAAAGAGGAGGTTCAGGAGGCAGAAAAGGATGAAAGGATGAGGAGAAGGGTTGAGAGAAGGTCAGGAGGGAGGCATGATGTATACCTTTGTTCCGTCTACTGGATTATGGATGACAGTTGTCTGAGGTTCCTGCAGGAGGAGGAGCGAGGAGTATGAAATGAAAGAGGAAAAAAAACCCAGGACGAATATAAAAAGAGAGAGGGAAGAAAAAAGAGAAAGAATTTTACATAAATGTTGACAGAAATGAATAAATACTTAAAAGAAGAAGAAGAAATAGACAAAAAGTGAAGAAGTGAGACATAAATATTGTATGCAGAGGAAGCGTTGCTAAGTTCGGAAGAAAAGAGTGTGGAGAAGAATTATCCGAAGTGACAGGGTGGGTGGATGACAGTTTTGTTCTGGGCTTGTGCATGTACATGCACACACACTCAGCCCCGAGAAGCTAGTAATCAAAACTGACATTTAACCCTAAAATTCGGAAGATTTGTCAGGTCTGCGCTCTCCTGTGGTGTCTGCTTTAAACGTCAACGACAATTTGCTTAAATCACAGGGAATGTGTTCGAATCGAGAAGAATAAAAGGCTAAGAAAAGTAAAAAAAATTTAAACATTAACTCAAACAACAGAACAGAGGTGAATGTCAGGATGGTTCTAGTTGCAGTTTTATGTGCGTCTCCATCCAGAACCTTCTCTACACCAGCTTCACTTTTAGTTATGGAAAGTCACAGTTTTCTTCCGTGCGTCTCATGAATCAGGTCCTACAGTCAAACTTCTGTCTGTGACTCCATCGCAATTAGTGGTTTTTTTCATAAATAGCTAATTGTTCCTGTTCTCTGAAACAGGGGGCAGCGTCTCATTACACCCACTGACGTTAAACGAGAACAGACACAGATGATCATTTTCTACTTCCCCTGTACTGTCTATAGAAACACCTAACTGACATATAGTAAACCAGCTATATCAAACCAGCTATATCACTCTTCTCCCCTGACACCTTTTTGATGACCAATCATCAGCTGTCTACCCTTGTAACTATGGCTCTGTTGTCAGGATACCATCACCCGGGGCAACAGGCATATACGGTAACTTGAAAGATGAGGATTGAGTGAGAACAAAGTACCTTAAGATTTTTATAACTCAGAGGGAGGGAAGGGTGGAGGGGGTGGAGCTTAAGGCAACATATTAGCTAGACTTTACATTTTTAACTGGCTAGCTTTTAAAAGATGCTAATTTACCAATCCGCCTAACATCAAGTGACCTGTTGGCAGCTCAACATGTGATCTGATAACCAATCGAAAAAGACAAAAATGATCCCTGATTTCTCTGAACCCCGTCTTTTACTTCGCTCGCTCACTGTTTTGCTCCAGCACCACCCTCAAATACTTCTCTACCACTCCTGGGAGAGAAGTACACTTTCTCAGTCAAATCCGCCAGTTTTTCCTGGTACCTGGTTATTTAATAAAAAAAATAATAAAAAAATCTGTCTTTGGAAACCAAAGTTTTAGCATTGCAGCAAACTGACATCATTAAAGCTCTTGATTCTCCAGGCATCAGGCTCACTCTTATACAATAAATACCTGGTACAGATACTACATCTGATGCAGTAACCCTCTCCATCACACTCTTGATAGTTGCTCTGAACATCTCCTCACTACATCCCTATTGTCTTAAACTCTTTTTCCCCATAGTCCTTGACTTTGTCTCCACAACTACACCACTTTGTTAAAGTCCCAGTGACAGCGTGTGCTGACTGAGCGGCCGAGAGCAAATCTGAACTTCCCTACAGGTAGTCCTTAGCAGTATTTACTTTCTTACCGAGATCATTACTGATGCATCTAGGACACGATTGCCAGTGATTTATGATTGAGCACAGCAACTGGCCTGGTTATATACTGTAGCAGAATACAGTGTTCTATCCTGGCTTAATAATGTCAGAATAGTAGAAGAAAAAAAACTTTCAACACTTTCAGATGAACTCACTGTATTTCATAAAAAATACATAATAACACAAGTACTAGTTGTCTCTAAATTGAAATACATCTTAAATATTGCAAACTAAAACTTAAACTTTTAATGGAATCGAGACACGGTTCTGTAAAATAATTCGAATCCGCATGGACTTGTTAACTTAAATGACACCTGCAGTGACGGAGTCTAAGAGCCGTGTGAAGCAACTCTAAGAGACAGTTTAGCGAAAGGAACAAGACCATTCTGTGACTTTCTGTTGCACTTCACCGCTTTAGTCATTAGCACGCACTCTTTTAAAATTAGAGCAAAATGAGTCACAAAAACAGGAAGAGGCTCCAGATTCATACGGTTCTCAACAACAAAGACAGCACAGATTGTTGTACACATGGTAAAGCTTTGCTTATATACTCTTATATATATACTGTATATGAATATATACAGTATATATATATACATATATAAATATATAAACATATACATGTATATATATACAAACATACATATATAGCTTATATACCGATATATACATATATTCATATATATTATATAAATGATAAAAGACTAACTATGAGACCTTCATATAAATCATGACATCATCAGTAAAGGTGCGATTACTGACTCGTCATGCTTATTGCAGGTCTAAGGATATTTTTTTACTTTTTTATGTTTACAGTTTGAATATTGACATCAGCACAATAATGAAAACAGAGATAAATGGATAGGGCTCATCGATGGAAGGTCATGGGTTTGAATCCCGCCTAAGCTCTCGTGCGTTGAGCAAGCTTTAATATTTCCCTAACATAACTTCCCGGTGTTCTTGAAAGCACCCAGCTAGGGTCGGGTTAGTGCTATTGTACTGTAGTACTGAAGTTCAAACTTAATAACCGCTGTAACCATTACAGAGACAAGAACTCCAATCAACAGACAAAGAGAGAAAAGAAAAGGTCAAAGATCATGACGATTCAGAACTCGCAGGGTAAAAAGTAAAGGATTTGAGGCGGTAGTACAAATGTAGAAGTACACACAAAAACCACAGTACACATACAGGTGGAGGACGGGTAAGGAGGTAAATACCAGAGCAGGTGAAGGGATATTTCCTTTGGGACTGGTGACTATGTTGTTTTTGGTGCTGTTTGTCTGGGGCTGTGCAAGAGAGAAAGGGGGAAGAAAAAAGGGAGGAGAGGGAGAAAACAAACAACAAGAGTGTTAACACCAAGAGGAAGTAAGAAGATTAGAATCCGACGCTGCCCCCTACTGAGTTGTGTATGAAACTGTCTCTGTGCTCATGGGTAAGAATCTTAAAAGCTTTTGAACAATATAAAATACAGTTTGATAAAATAAGTATGAGTCAGAACCTGGAACCTGGCAGACCAACAGAGTGACAGGAAATATTTATTCCACCCTTTCATCTGTAATTGCGCCAGCTATCACAGGAGGCAGCGGTTGACGTCGTGCACTGACATCACCGGTGACTTCGGCCACTGCTATTGTCGATTGTTAGCGATGAATCAACCAATAAAGCCTGTGTCTGACATTCGTTTGAAGACGGCACATCAGAGAGCCGACAGTTCTTTGTGGCTTTGTGACATTTGCATCTAATCTGCATCAGAGTATTTGTGATTCTGCCGTAAAAAATGATTTATGGGGAAAAGGTGACTTGTTGTTAGAGGCGAGCTACGTACCGTTACACACATGTTAGTTATATAAACTTCTAATCTTTGAATTATTATTTGAATTATTATTGCTGTAGTGTGGAGGAAAGAGAAAAGGAACACACGAAGAAGAAAGAAAAAAATGAAAGAAGAGGTAAGGGCAGTTTATACCTGCGCAGCCACAAAGGCATCGCAAGACATGGACACAGAAATCAGCCACAATCAGGTCAACATTGATCCTTTGATCTCTCCCACACAACTGAACAAAGGACACACAGGCACACACTCAAACCTCAGCCTGTATAAAGTCATCAAAGGAGTGACATTGCTGACAGACATCACAGGGAATTTTAATTTAAAGTAGAAAGTCTTGATCAACATTAATACACTTTTTTTGTTGCTAACACGATACTTAGTCCAGATATCTGAAAAACCTGAGGTCCAACCAATCAATACAGAGAAAAATAGGGTTAAACCAAGAAACGTCCACCCCCACATGACTGTTGTAGGATCACAAAGTTTTGTCTTTTGTAGATTTAGTTAAACAATTAATTAAGGAGACAAACATTTACAGATGCTTAAAAGCAAAGAGAGATTATAAAACAACAAACACATGACAGGACGGACGCACATCATGACATGCTCACCATATACTGAACGGTGCAGCTGGACTTGCGTTTCTGTCCTCAGACGATTGACGGATGAATTTATTGGTGAGTGGAGAGTTGAAAAAGGGAAGGGAAAATGATCATGAAAACAAATGAATGCTGTTGGAAATACCAGAGAGAAAGTGTAACAGGAGCTCCAACGTCAGAATAGAAATGCTGGGAGGTTGCGGAAAGAGAAAAAAAAGAGGAAGCGTTGCATCTTTGAAATCTTGATTTTGCAAGAGGAAGAAGGTAACGGCAGATGGAGCAGGACAAGAAGAACTCATCAAACAAGGGATCCAAGAACAGGAAGCAGGTCAGAGAAGAACTCTAGGAAAACTCATTATGATAGTCAGGACAACTATCGCAAAGGAGTACGAAGTAAGTACGAAAAGAAAATTAATAAAAGACGATTTGACTTATTTAAAAAATTTTAAAATTTTGTTATCGCTACTAAATATTAGATTTGAGGAAGTCGGGATTGTACCTACGCCAAAAGCTACAGCTTGCGTTCGGAAGAAGACAATCTTCTTCTCTGTATATTGATGTGAAAGAACTGACAGATGCATTACTGCCACCACATGGTCAAAAACAGCATTGCAACTGAGCCTCTCCATGACAACATATCTCTGGGGTCTTCAGTTGAAAACTTATTTCTGTACACCCCACATGTGCATAACTGAAAGTTATTTGTAGGCCCATAGGTGGCGCTGGTGGTCCCTTTGTATTTCAGAATCGATGCTTCACTGTGATATTAATGGCCACATTAAATCGGAATTATGCGGTTGATGTGTGGTTTTTCTTCCAGTTTCTCCCCTACGTTGGGGTCACCACACAGGGGCTCCAGACTGTCATTTAAAATAAATAAATAAAGATATAATAAATACATGTAAATCGCTAGGTTCTGTCGCAGTCCAGCTGAGGAAAGTCTTCAAAGTGTCTAAGAGAACCAGCAGGAAGAGAAAGAGGAAAAGGAAGAGGAAAAGGAAGAGGAAGAAGAAGAAGAAGAAGAAGAAGAAGAAGAAGAAGAAGAAGAAGAAGAAGAAGAAGAAGAAGAAGAAAGAGAAGAAGAAGAAGGAGAAGAAGAAGAAGAAGAAGAAGAAAGAGAAGAAGAAGAAGGAGAAGAAGAAGAAGAAGAAGAAGAAAGAGAAGAAGAAGAAGGAGAAGAAGAAGAAGAAGAAGAAGAAGAAGAAGAAGAAGAAGAAGAAGAAGAAGAAGAAGAAGGCAGCAAATGGAGAAAGCGCCTTTCGGTTTTGGGGAGGGTGTGTGAGGAGCCTGTTGCTAAGCAATGACTGTGCCGTAGTTGAAGTTGGTATCTATTTCTGTCATCTGAGTTTCCAGGGTCCAGACTGGCAGCTATTCCTGGAACCAGAGCGAGAGGAGAGGAGAGGAGAGGAGAGGAGAGGAGAGGAGGGGAGGGGGGGGGAGGGGCCTTCTCTCTCTCTCACACACACACATCGGCAACCCACACAAGCAGACGCCCACTCTTACGCACATGCTCAATGTGCAGGCATCCTAACACTCCTTTCAAATCCACAAATGTGATGTATTCACACTGGACACACACATACACACACACACACTCATACAAAGAGACATGAAGGACATATAGAGACACACACACAGCTGTGTGTCCCTGTTACTCTACCAGACACAGAGTTAGTAGCTGGAAGATAAATATGCTTTACATGTTCCACACTTGGAACACACACTGACACACACACATGGAAGCTCTGCGTTTGTGTGTGTGTGGGATGTGCTACTGTGATGTGTGTATGCACCGGCATGGGATGGTGAGAGATATTGGTTTAAGGAGGAATAGGAATGCAGGGTTAAAGACCAGATGGGGTGAGCGGGGAGAGGTAGTAGGAATGAAGGGGTGAGTGAGGGGAGGAAGTGATGATGACAGCAGGGGGGAAAGGCTGACAGATGGTTACATGTTCTACAGATGATTCTACATGTTCTAATGGGTACTTTCGGCCAGCACAATTACACGAGTGAAACACGACAGACACGATGAAGGATCAAGAGTAAGATAAGCCAATCAGAAGCGAGGATTCTGGAGAGCAGAACTGAGAAGGAAGCAGTTTGAGGAGCTGTGAAGGAAGGCGGGGAGAGAAGAAGAGTGGAGCTGAAGTGAGGAGTGCGATGACCCTTACCTTGACGTCTGCCTTTTTGTTGAGCAAAGTCTTAGCTGCTGTAATGAAAAGCACAGAGAGAGACATAGTCAGAGGACAGAGATGAGCAGAAAAGACATTTACAGCCACTGATTCTTCATCAGCGGCTAATGAACAGCTAACGGCTAACTTTAGATAATTCTCTGACATGAATCGACTGCTCAAAAAGCAACAAAGTACAAACTCCCGGGGAGAGAACGGATGATTAGCGCATTCTCGATAACAGTTTAGCCACGTCCAACACAATAGCACTTCCAGTAACTTGCTAATTGCTAGGACAGCAGCTGCGGTTTGAACAGTGAGTACAATCTGAGTCCAAGAAAGCTAAGACTTCACCTTCATAGAATCCGCACACACAAAAGGCTAAGTCAAGTTGTAAGACAGATGTTAGATCTAGATGCTGGAGCTATTTTTCTAGCCTGAAGTGTAAACAAGATTTAAATGAGGAGAAGAAAAAAAATCTAAATTTTAATCGATCCTGACTGGAAACCTTTAAAACTCATCAACAGATTTTGAATTTTAGATTTGACTGCTCAGACTGGGGACGCTGCGAATGAGTTTACGATATAATATAGAACACAGAGAAATACACAAGTCTTGTCTGAGATAAAGTAAAATCATATAGTAGCTAACCTAACCTAACCTAAAAATAAAAAAATGTAATTTTCCACTGATGTGTATTTTATATACTTTTTTATAAAACTAACACTCATCTCCTCTTTATCAGTGATCAATACAGAATCAAGCTGATTATGCAACTGCACAATATGGAGGTCATTGAAAATCTTTAGCCTCACTCGTAGTAGCGTGATGTAACGACTGGTACGGATTTAACGTAGCAGCCTGACAGACTTGGTATCCCTCACTGTATTATTTCACCCACACAGAGCGCAGCAGAGGTTCAGTAATTAAAGGCTGCTGCTGATTTGTTATTGTTGACATGTGCGCTAAGGGGGAGGGGCTAAAACAAAGACAGGCCGCCCGACCGACTGAACTGTTAGCCTGGATGTTGGAGAAATCCACCAAGGTCCTGATAAAGATTAGCTGTCAGTAACGTGGGAGAGTAAAGAAGGAAGTGAGGGAGGAGGTAATTGAGAGCGGAGAATATAGTACCCACAATCACAATCACTGAACGACAGTGACATCAGCGTGCAGACAACACCTAACAGTCGTCAGGGCATTTAATATACAGTCACATCAGTGAAGCATAGACTGAGCCGCAGTTGAGGTTACGTTACGATGTTTTTTAACCCACAAATCAACGCCAGGTCTGAGCAACAAAGCAGCAAATGTGTGATGTCAAAATGAGGTCACAAGCCTAGAAAGGTTGCAGACGACTGTGATAGACAGGTCATTAGATGTTGTAGAGATTTGTATTTGTATTAACTGACTTGCTTCTTTGTGGCCTACTGATTTGATCTTTTATTTATTTGAAATAATTAAGAATTGTTTTTTAAAATTTAAAATTTAATTTAATAAGTATTAATATATAATTAAATTTAATTAAATAATTAATATAAATTTAAAAATATTATTTTTAAATAAATAAAACCAATTTAAATGTTTGTTGAATTACAGACTGTGTTGCTATGCTCTGTATTGGAATATATTTCATTTCAATATTTTGTTCAGCGTGCGGCTCTGTATTTAGCTAGACCTGTCCAAATCATCAAATCGTTATTTGCGTTAATTGATTTGTGTAATTAATCAGACAAAACATTACGGTTTTACATATTAGCACATTTTGAGCAATTAGCACAATAGTAGCAATTTTTTTCAGCAGCCAGGGGGCACTGTTTTAACCACTGAGTGTATGAAGATATTCAGTGTAAAAAATGATACTCTGTATCATGGAGTATACTTTGTGGTGTAAGTACTCTTTCAACATTCTACTGCAGTTTATGTTCACCGTGGATAAATGAAGACCTCGACTGCCTGTCAAAGGCAGAGCACTGCCTTCTGTAGAAGAACTGTAGTCCAGAAAGAAACCTTTTAGTGGCTGAGTGCTTTTTCAAGTCAAATCAAATCCAATCAGATCAGCAGATGTAGAGATTTTAATTGTTTGCAAAGACTGATGCTGTTAGTGTGATAAGAAAGTTATAAAAATCAGCAAACTTTCTTTTTAAGTTGTTAAGTATTTGTTGTACTGTGATTACGCAGCCTTATTGCAAAGGCTGGTTGTCAACGAAGATGAACTATAACCAATATTCAGACAGTAACGTCTGTTATGTTTCCTGACATTTATTATTAGTTCAAAACTGATGGGAGCAGGTTTTGTTTACAGGGTTGCTAAAGAAAAAAGGCTTATATTCCGTTTGTGTAATTAAATCTCCATGGAAACCTGGAAAATCAAAAAAAAAAAAAAAGAACTCAAAGGTAGCTGGGTTCAAACTGATGGAGGAGAAGCTGTGGGTGCTCCTTACCTTGCCACAAATTACACATGAAGCAAGGAGAGAGAGAGGAGGAAGAAATTAAAAAACAAGAAGGTATATGTGTGATCAGTTCCCACTAAGAACAAGCAGGATGCACAACTGTGGGAGTGGAGCAAGGACGGGCTTGGACTCTCATCGGCAGAACCACACGGACGTAGAACTGCGGCAGTTCACGATGAAACCATTAATGATAATACAGTTCTGTGATTAATATTCCACTAGAGCCTAACTGAGACTCCTGGTATTAGTCCTGTGAAAAGCCTCGGTGTTTTCAGAATTAAAGCTGACAGTATCCATGGAAACATCATTAAAAACAAACGTAATTGAGTGCAAGACAAGGCACCATGTTTTTTCACCCTTGAACAATTCTATCATTGAAAGTCTTTGGTTTCCCAGGTTTTTCTTTTATTATTATTATATTATTATTTCAGACGCAACTGGACTCACCTCAAGTTAATTGTATTTATCTAAAGTGTTTATCTATCCACCCCAAAAGAGGGGTGTGGATAGGTAAACACCTGGAAACTCCCCACCAGGACAGTAGAACTGATGAAGCCTCTTGGAGGAGAGGCGAAACAACGTCTTCAATTTACGTGGTGAGGTGAGTCCAGTTGCCAACTTCCTAAAACTGCTTTTGAAATTGTAATGATGACCTGGATAACTGAGAATATTCACAAGTATTATATTATTATGTTATATGTTTTTTTATGTGAGTAATTGAAGACATATTTGAATCTTACTTAAGAGACTTCTTTAGTGTTGACTGACAGAAAAAAAGTCCAGTTAACATGCTATTTATTATCATTATTATTATTGTTGTTGTTATTATTATCATCATTATTGTTGTTGTTATTGAATTATTATTATTATCATCCTCATTATCATATATATTTAATAATAATATTTTATTTTTTCATTTTTTTATTTTTGACTTTGAAGTACTGGTGATGAACTGGAAGTCTCTCAGGTTAAAGGTAAAACTTCCTTAAACAGGTTGTGTGTAGTTATTTACCCATGCTTAGTGTTTTGTTTTTAGTCCTCTCTCTGTTGAACCCTATAAACAAACCCAGTGATTAACACTAAAAACACAGCCAGGATGGTTTCGGTGCTTCCTCCAGTCACCACATTAGTGTTTAGGCTGGAATTCAATCCGGCAACCCTGGATAACAAGCCAAAGTATTTTACCACTGAGTCACAGGCCTGCCTCTAGAAACAGACCATTAAAATTGACTACAAACAATGAAAAGTGCCAACTGTTCACGCGTTTTCTGTAAAAACCTGATTGTTTTGTTGAAGTATTTTATTTAAGTCTGGCCTTAAATCTACTGTTTACATATTTTCTTTTGCTAAAGCTGTAATATTAAAATGCATTAAATCATTGTTTCCCCAAGACTGGGTCGTGATCATCAGGTGGGTCGCAAGTGATTTTTTTTTTGGGTCGTCTCGCATCATGTTTCCCAGAAATAATGTCTGTTGATTTGGGTCGCAAAGGTTTGTGACTTTTAAAATGTGGGTCCCCAGAAAAAAAAAAATTGCATTAAATTTACATGTTACAATAGTTATATGGAGTATTTTCAATTATGTACATTTTCTAAATGTCATTTTATCTGAACCATTTTAAATACTGTTATTTAAACAAACTGATCTTTACAGCTTTAAAAATGATACATATAATAAATGAAAGGTTAAGACCTTGAAGCTTAATGAGCGTCCAGCCCAGTCTTACATCTTCCACAGTGTTCACCATGCTTTACCACCGCAGCACATGCACCAGTCCAGTGCCTCATGCAGCATTCAATGACAGCTCCTGCGCAATTCTAATCCTTAAAAGTGAGTTTGAACTTTTTTTTTAGGCATTTCCAGACAGAAGATATAGTGCGAGAGAGAGAGAGAGAGAGAGAGAGAGAGAGAGAGAGAGGGCAAAGATGACGTGACATGGTTGAAATCTGAGGTGTTGGTGAAGATAAACCCAAAGACACAACAGTGATAAGACATGTATAAATGATGCACCACAGTGAGAAGAAACAGTGGGGAAATGGAGGGGTGAGGTGAAATGGGTAATATAAATACTGATGAATAAAATGGTGGGTGGAGTCGATTCAATGAGGTCAGCCGCCATGCTCTTGAGTTCACATGCTGAGGAAAGGAAGGAGGGAAAACTGACAGAGGAGACAGAACAGAAAAGAGTACGAGGGTGGCAGGAAGAGGGGTGGCATGCCCTGGGTGAGCCACCGTGCTACCTTGTTCCACCAGCCCTGCGGTGGTGTCGGCGGCTGCAGCCCCCCCCGCTGCCGCCGCAGGGGCAGAGCCGGAGCAGTGGTCTGCCTGCTACCCACTGTTAGAGAGTCCGATAAACAGTCACACAAGACAAAACAGAGTTACAGGTGAGACGGAGGGAGGGGGAGGGGGGACGAGAAAGAGATTCTAAAGGATACAAGGGGTGTAGTGACATTTAGAAAGTTAAGTTAAAGGAAGGAGGGTGAGTCAGAGGCACAGCGGGGGGGCGGGGGGGGTCGTAGGAGGAAGAAAGCGAGACATAAATGTCAGGGGTAAAAAGGGTTGAAAAGATCGGGGGAGCAGGGGGGAGGGTAGGAGTGGGCGTTAAAGCAGGAGTAAGAAATTCTCTGTCAAACCTTCATACTAAAGTGAACCACAGCATAATGTGAAACAAACCAGTACCAAGAAAAAGTGTTGGACGATGTATTGACACGTGAAGCTAACTTCAGTGATCCAGACCGAGGCACAGCTAGGATTTACATACACAACCATAAGTAGACAGATATGGACCCATTCACCTGTGTTGAAGTCGGTTTTGTTTTGGGAATGGCGTGACAGACCTGTTTAGTGCTCATTTCATAAACTGGTCATGGTTCGTTTACGTTGTTGGCATCAGACTCTACATTGAAAAGGATAATGCCGGGGCAGCCCTGACAGCCCCGTAACCAAAATGAAGGCGTGAAAACATTTTTGTCCCCAAGGGGGGGCATGACAGAAAATAACTGAGAACCACTGCATTAGGCCCAATGGTTTGCCCCCTTGGGGTGTGCTGAGGTATTGCCTCAGCAGGTCAGGTCATTTTAATATGTTAAATGTTGGTCACATTTAAATCATTGGAGTTCAACACCTGAATCAGTGTGTGTTCTGTTTGTGCATTTTCTCACCACACTGTGAAATGTCAAAGCAGCAAAACATATTAATAACAACAACAACAACAATTTATTTTAATTATTATTATTATTATAAATTAATAATAATTTGTCTCCTATGCCCCGTCTTTAAAGCAACAGCAACAGAAAAGTACTTGAAAAAACCTCTGAGCCACTCATTTACACACACACACAAAAAGTACAACCTCATCTGTGTTTTCTTATTCCAGCAGATACTAAGAAAGTATCTGCTACAGAAGTACACGGATGAGCAGACACATCAGCACACACACAGACACACAAACCCCAGAGAACTCCGATGACATTCAGTGTTTCTAAATAAATACTTTTAGAACTTTTAGCAAATTTCAGCGTTTAGTCATATTTCTGTTTGAACTAGAAACATTTGACATTTAACACAGTGCTGCAGACGTCGCTTTTTAGTTAAAGAAAAATAAAGGAAACACTGAAGTCGCCTTAACTTAAAACTATTTGTTCGTGCAGTACTCAAAGTAACACATCATACTGCGTGTTACTCATATATAGGATAGTTTTCATGGTTTACATATAAAGAAACAGCTTCTCTGGTATCGTCAGGTATTTACTGGCAGTATTCACTCGCTGTCATTGCTAACACAAAAGGATGACTAATATTAGTGATCAAATTAATTAAATATTTGTCTGGATATTAATAATAAATAAATGGAATGACTGGGACGGCTCGATCCGATACTTAGGATCTGTATCGCTCTGATACTGGTCAGAATCTCGGAATCGAACAATGAAAAAAATATTGAAAATCTTTTTGAGAAAAAAATGTGTCAATTTCTTCATCGATTGATCCTAATTAATAAGAGATGATTGGTTAATTTGTTTAACACTTTTATTGTCCTTTCTCCTGATTACTAAAGGTTTAAGTTAATCACTTAAATTCAAGTTTTTACTTTATAATTCTATTTTTATTTTATTCTATTCTATTTTTATTAACTTAATTACCTTTTTTATGTGCAGTCCAGACACGTTTACTGCGTCACTTTTAGTCTATAAATGCTATAAGAAAAATCTAACAAAATTAATTAGAATCCAACCTGGTGCCAAGTTCCTCAGACTTAAATGAAAATAAATAATTTACCTATGAACGACATCTTAATGAGATGAAGAAGTGATTATTAACTATGTTACTAATCACTTATAAACTCAGAACTATTGATAATTTATAATCGTCATGCAGAAAATAAACTTTTACATTTAACATTTAAAATCGTCTGCATAAACATCGTTACTGTTCCACAGACAGGACTGGTCCATTAACAGTACCAGAGGCAGTACTTACCAGAGAAGTTCCGTGACACCAGCATGGTAGTAAGTATCGCCCCCTAGGGAGAAAGAAACAAGAGAAACTGCTCACTTATTTGGGTTTATAAACTATTCAAATGTTTTTATTCTGTCAGCACTAAAACTGCACTGTTTAAGATAAAAAAAACAACAACAAATATTTATGGATGTATTTTTCCTGATTTATATATTAAGACAATTTGGGAATTTTTAAAAAAACACAAGTGTCAGCAAAGAACACCACCCTCCCCTGTGAGTCCTCTCAACTTTGTTTGGTAATTAGTAAAAAATCTCAGCAGTAAAGTTTTCTGTTCACCCTCTGTTTATGTTATCCTGCAAAAACTGAACTAGAATATTTTTTTTTTATGCTTAGTAGACATTTTTAAGTTACTTTTTCTTTTCTTTTTACTCAAGTTTTACAGTGCATAGTCACCTGATCCCAGACTAGGCTGTGTCAGGAACAACATCCAAGGTCAAATCTCGGCTAGATCACTGGGCTGTGGTGCCCCCACCCTTCTCCCCCATTTCCACCGGATACAGGAAGAAACCAAGTGATTTTTCTTTTCTCTTTATGTCGCAAATTTATATTTGGTGGCTGTAGATTTTAACTGTAGTATCCTGTATTTGTTTAATCAACACTAACTAACCTAAACTACCTAAAAACAAAAAAAAACCCTAAAGAATCTGCAGCGTCGTCGGCATCAAACGTTTGTTTATGAGCTTCAAACAGACCATCGTGGTTGATGATGTCATAATGAGCTGATGTCACTGAAGCGTAACCGCAGAGAAGGATGTCTTCTTCATCTTCCTCCTTCTTTTTCTACCGTCTTCAAACAAATCTACTCTAATAAAGCTTTCATTTTCAGCACAAAAACTTTTTTTTTTGACCCATATTCACTTCATCGTGTGAACCCTGCCTTTCAGAAAAGCAAGTGTACAATAGTTTGTAGAGTTGTTTTTTTCAAATATTTTTCGGTGAATGTCATCAGTGTTAAACACTAAACTTTTTTTTTTTGTTCTGACTTACAATTGTCCTGTCAGTTTTAGAGCAGAAGAAGAAATCCAAAATAGTGAAATGTATTGAGTCAAACTGACCTTGAGTTTCCTCCTGGCGTTGAATTTCTTCAGGCACTCCACGGTCTCCTGTCTGTGCATCATGGACGCCACTGTGGATCGTTGCTGAACAAAAAATTAAAAGTTGTCATTCATTTGATGTGATAAAACAACACACCCCGCAGACTGTCCCGCCTGTGGAGCAGCGTAAAGAGCTGGGGGCACTTACGCAGACCCATGGGTGTTTGAGCGCCTCCTGAGCAGTGACCCTCTTGGCCGGGTTGATGGTGAGCATCTGATTGATGAGGTTCTTGGCCTCCGGGGTAACGGTGTCCCACTCTGGAGAAGGGAACTGGAGCAACAAACACAGGTTGGTTTTTGACTAAAGACAAGTACAACATTTAGTCCTCAGATATTGTGTCTTTGTCCATTTCTTGAACGTCTCCCAAACAGTATAGCAGTGATTCCCAACCACTGTGCCGTGAGAGATCATTAGGTGTGCTGTGGAGAATTATCCAATTTCACTTAATTGGGCTGAAAAACTATTATTTATTTATTGCATGTAATTTTTGCTCTTTGCTCGTCAAAGCATGAAAGGCAGAACAATTAAATACTCCTCTGCTAGGTGGCAGCAGATAGCTATGAAAAATAAAAATCAGAGCTATTAAAGAAGATCTTTGTGGGTGTTTTTCTTCAATTCCTGCCAGTATATCAGCGTTGTCTTCAACTAAATCGGCCGAGGTTTTAGTCAATTATGAGATCATTTAAACTAGAAGATTATTATATTTAATTACATATACTTTTTGTGAGATTTTTGTTTGGTGATGTGCCATGAGGGTTTTTCCTGATGATAATATATGTGCCCTGGCTCAGAAAAGGTTGGCAAACACTGCCATATAATGTGTGTTCCTAAATGTTCTTGATCTGGGTTTAACCTTTATCATGCTCTGCTTCATCTAGGATTAACGTAGAGCTGTAGAAACGTAGGCAGTGAGTGTGAAGATTGTTCACAGCCAGTTGTCAGAAGAAAAAAAAATACACCAAATCCTTTTCCTCTTTAAGCTGAAAATCCTGGACTCAGTGCCAGGGAATCTGCTCAGCACGGAGTGGAATGTGATTGAAGGTGAAACTCTATCTGTAATATAACCCTGGCTGAATGTTTGAAAGTGACTCTATGTTGACAGAGGAGGGAGTGGAGAAAGGAGAAAAGAGGAGAGGTGGAAAGAAGAGAGAAGAGGAGAGGAGAGGAGAGACAAGAGGAGATGAGAGTAAAGAGGAAAGCAGAGGAAAGGAGAGGAAAAGAGAGGAGTCAAAAGAGAGTGATGTGAGGAGAGGAGAGGAGAGAAGAGCAGAGGAGAGGTGAGGAGAGGAGAGAAAAGGAGATGAGAAGAGAGGAGAGTAGAGCAGAAAGGAGAGGAGAGGAGAGAGGAAAGGAGAGGAGAGAAGAGAGAAAATGAGGAGAGAACAGGAGAGGAGTGAAAAGAGAGAGGAGAGGAAAGGAGAGGAGAGGAGAGAAAAAGAGAGAAGAGCGGAGGAGAGGAGAGGAGAGGAGAGGAGAGAAGAGGAGAGGAGAGGAGAGGAGAGAAAAAGAGAAGAACAGAGGGGAGTAGAGAGGAAATGGGAGGAAAGGAGAGGAGAGAACAGGAGAGGAGTCAAAAGAGAGTGAGGAGAGGAGAGAAAAAGAGAGAGGAGATGAGAGAAAAAGAGATGAGAAGAGAGGAGAGTAGAGCAGAAAGGAGAGGAGAGGAGAAGAGAGAGGAAAGGAGAGGAAAGGAGAGGAGAGAAGAAAGAAAAAGAGGAGAGAAGAAGAGAGGAGAAGAGAGGCGAGAAAAAGGAACAAAGGAGAGGAAAGGAGAGAAGAGGAGAGGAAAGGAGAGAAGAGAGAAAAAGAGGAGAGAAGAGAGGAGAAAAAGAAGAAGAGAGGAGAGGAAAGGAAAGAATAGGAGATGAGAGAAGAGGAGAGAAAATGAGAGGAAAGTAGAAAAGAGAGAAAGAGAGGTGAAGAGAGGAATAGAGAGATGAGAGGAGAGAAGATGATAAAAGAGGAGATGGGAGGAGAGAAACAGAGAGTGGAGGAGAGGAGAGTAGAGAGGAAAGAAGAGAGAAAAGAGAAAGAGAGGAGAGGAGAGAAGAGAAAAAGGAGGAGAGGAGAGGAGAGAAGGGAGAAAAAGAGGAGAGAAGAGGTGAGAGGAGAGAAAAAAGGACAGGAGAGTAGAGGAGATGAGAGGAGAGGAGAGAAGAGGAGATGAGAGGAGAGGATAAAAGAGGACAAGAGAAAAGAGGAGAAAAAAGACAAGAGGAGAGGAGACCACAGAGGAAAGGAGAAGAGAGACAAAGAGGAGAGAAGAGGATAAAAGAGGACAGGAGAGAAGAGGAGATGAGAGGAGAGGAGAGAAGAGGAGAGGATAAAAGAGGACAAGAGAAAAGAGGAGAAAAAAGACAAGAGGAGAGGAGACCACAGAGGAAAGGAGAGAAGAGAGACAAAGAAGAGAGAAGAGGATAAAAGAGGACAGGAGAGAACAGGAGAAAAAGAGGAGAGAACAGGAGAGGTGAGGAGAGAAAAAAGAAAGAGAGAAAAATAGGAGAGAACAGGAGAGGAGAGGAAAGGAGAGGACTGGAGAGGAGAGGAGAGGGAAGGAGAGGACTGGAGAGGAGAGGAGAAGATAAAAGAGGACAGGAGAGAAGAGGAGAAAAAAGAGACGAGAGGAGAGTAGAGAGGAAAGGAGAGAAGAAAGAAAAAGAGGAGAGAACAGGAGAGGTGAGGAGAGAAAAAAGAAAGAGAGAAGAGAGAAAAATAGGAGAGAACAGGAGTGCAGTGGAGTGGAGAGGAGAGGAGTGGAGAGGAGAGGAGAGGAGAGGAGAGAAAAGGCGAAGAAGAGAGGGGAGTAGAGAGGAAATGGGAGGAAAGGAGAGGAGAGAACAGGAGAGGAGTCAAAAGAGAGTGAGGAGAGGAGAGAAAAAGAGAAGAACAGAGGGGAGTAGAGAGGAAAGGGGAGGAAAGGAGAGGAGAGAACGGGAGAGGAGTCAAAAGAGAGTGAGGAGAGGAGAGAAAAAGAGAGAAGAGCAGAGGAAAGGAGAGGACTGGAGAGGAGAGGAGAAGATAAAAGAGGACAGGAGAGAAGAGGAGATGAGAGGAGAGGATAAAAGAGGACAAGAGAAAAGAGGAGAAAAAAGAAAAGAGGAGAGGAGACCACAGAGGAAAGGAGAGAAGAGAGAAAGGGATGAGAAGAGAAGAAAGGAGAGGAGAGGAGAGGAGAGGGGAAAGGTGAGAAGAAAGAAAAAGAGGAGAGAACAGGAGAGGAGAGGAAAGGAGAGGAGAGGAGAAGATAAAAGAGGACAGGAGAGAAGAGGAGAAAAAAGAGACGAGAGGAGAGTAGAGAGGAAAGGAGAGAAGAAAGAAAAAGAGGAGAGAACAGGAGAGGTGAGGAGAGAAAAAAGAAAGAGAGAAGAGAGAAAAATAGGAGAGAACAGGAGTGCAGTGGAGAGGAGAGGAGAGGAGAGGAGAGGAGAGGGGAGGAGAGGAGACAAAGAGTAGAGAGGAAAGAAGAGAGAAAAGAGAAAGAGAGGAGAGGAGAGAAGAGAAAAAGGAGGAGAGGAGAGGAGAGAAGGGAGAAAAAGAGGAGAGAAGAGGTGAGAGGAGAGAAAAAAGGACAGGAGAGAAGAGGAGATGAGAGGAGAGGAGAGAAGAGGAGATGAGAGGAGAGGAGAGAAGAGGAGATGAGAGGAGAGGAGAGAAGAGGAGAGGAGAGGAGAGAAAAAGAGAGAGGAGAGGAGAGGAGAGGAGAGAAGAGGAGATGAGAGGAGAGGAGAGAAGAGGAGATGAGAGGAGAGGAGAGAAGAGGAGATGAGAGGAGAGGAGAGAAGAGGAGAGGAGAGGAGAGAAAAAGAGATGAGAAGAGAAGAGAGTAGAGCAGAAAGGAGAGGAGAGGAGAAGAGAGAGGAAAGGAGAGGAAAGGAGAGGAGAGAAGAAAGAAAAAGAGGAGAGAACAGGAGAGGTGAGGAGAGAAAAAAGAAAGAGAGAAGAGAGAAAAATAGGAGAGAACAGGAGTGGAGTGGAGAGGAGAGGAGGATAAAAGAGGACAGGAGAGAAGAGGAGATGAGAAGAGAAGAGAGTAGAGCAGAAAGGAGAGGAGAGGAGAGAGGAAAGGAGAGGAGAGAAGAGAGAAAATGAGGAGAGAACAGGAGAGGAGAGGAGTGAAAAGAGAGACGAGAGGAGAGGAAAGGAGAGGAGAGGAGAGAAAAAGAGATGAGAAGAGAGGAGAGTAGAGCAGAAAGGAGAGGAGAGGAGGGAGGAAAGGAGAGGAGAGAAGAGAGAAAATGAGGAGAGAACAGGAGAGGAGAGGAGTGAAAAGAGAGACGAGAGGAGAGGACAGGAGAGGAGAGGAGAGAAAAAGAGAGAAGAGGAGAGGAGATAAAAGAAGAGAGGAGAGGAGAGGAGAGGAGAGGAGACGGGAAAGGTGAGAAGAGAGAAAAAGAGGAGAAAAGAGAGGAGAAAAAAGAAGAATAGAGAGGAAAGGAAAGAATAGGAGATGAGAGGAGAGGAGAGAAAATGAGAGGAAAGTAGAAAAGAGAGAAAGAGAGGTGAAGAGAGGAATAGAGAGATGAGAGGAGAGAAGAGGATAAAAGAGGAGAGGAGAGGAGAGAGGAGAGGGAAAATGTGAAATGAGAGAAGAAGACATGACAGGAGAGGAAAAAAAGAAATACGTGGGAAGGAGAGGAGAAGAGAGAAAAGGAGAGAAGAGGAGAGGGGAGGAGAAGAGTCCAGTAAAGCGGGGAAGACTCACATCATAAGCACCAGCCTTGATCTGCTGGTACAGCTTGTGCTGGTCCTCGTCCCAGAAAGGAGGGTAACCCACCAGCAGGATGTAAAGGATCACCCCTGAGACACACACACAGAGACACACACACACACACACACATGCAGGTCAAGGCACACACCAATATACAGTGTGTTATTGCAGCGTTGTGTGTTCGTGCGTGAAACTCACCACAGGCCCAGATGTCCACTGGTTTACCATATGCCTCCTTCCTCAGTACCTCAGGCGACAGGTACCCCGGAGTACCAGCAAAACCTGCAGCCAAAACACACAGTACCAGTCAACAAGTGTACTGCAGTAGAATATACAGTATAGCTGCTTGATACACTGACTTATTTGTAGTGGGGATACAGGTGAAATAGGCATATATTTATCAGGATATATATATATATATATATATATATATATAGTATAGGATAGATATATTTATATACATACAGTATGATGTTGTGATTTAAACGATAACTTTACAGTCATCTTTACCATCCTTGGTAATAAACAAAAACATGTTTTCTTACAAACAAAAAGAGAAAAAAAAGGTAATTTTTTACAGAAGTGGTTCTTCAACTTTTTCTACTCTGTACCACCTGAGAAAACCTTGATCTCTCTGAGTACCACCATGATGACCAACATTAGAATATAGCAGCATAGGCCTTCACTGTTAGCTTCCACCACAGGAGAGATGTTTAGAAATGTTTAGAAAGATGTTTATGTTTAAATGTTGTATTAGTTAGTACATGGTATGTTTCAGAATTATTCAATTGAAAATGTAAATGTGGAAATATGAATTTTTCCCACATACCACTAGAGAGTGCTTGTGTGACACTAATGGTACGCGTACCACAGTTTGAGAACCACTGTTTTACAGCTTTAAAAAGATTCAGATTTTTTTTTCACCCACCAAACCAGGCCTGCTGGTCACCCTGCACCTCGATGGCCAGGCCGAAGTCAGCCAGCTTCACAGCTGCGTTCTTACATTTGCTTGCCAACAGCAGATTCTCTGGCTGAAAATGAGTAAAAAAAGAAGAGAAATTAGATGATTCTTTTTTTTTTAATGGACAGACAGGATACTAAAACAGACTCAATAACACAGTAACATGCACATCAGGGTCATGACACCTCCTACTTAACACGTAGACACACACAGGTAAACAGTGAGCATTTCAGCAGCGTGATGAAGCCTTTCAGTCTGCACCATTTTTTTTTTTTTTAGCCTTCACCTCATGTGATCTGCTGTGGACTCCTGGCTCCCACATCAGTGGCCCAGAAAACACATTCAACCTCATTATTCTCTGTCAGTGGAGGAATCTAATAATGGTTAGCTATCCCCACCGGTCCCTGCTTTCTCATTTTGTCTCCCTTCATCTCTCCACACTACGGCTGTATGATTAACTCTTAAACCAGCTTCAACAAAATATTAAAAATAGACGGACTATTTTTGAACCCACCAGTCCCTGCGGCCCCTGTAAATGCTAGAACCAAGACAGTTGGGAAGCAGGTCTGTCAGAGAGGCTGACAAGGTAACCCACATGTAGTTAGGGTTGTTGGCTCTAATCTGACAGAGACTGTTACACCGCAGCGCTACATTTACGACATATTACAAAACACAACCACCTCTTACTGTAGCTACAACAAGCTAAAGGCTTTTGAATGATAGTTCCAGAAAACAGCTCCTAATGCTAACAATCTTTTTCAAACTTTTTGTTCCTTTTACTGGTACTCAAGAAAAAAAATAACCCTGTTTTCGGCTACTTATATTTAGCATGTACATTTAGAAGCGCTACTCAATTATTCCCGTCATTTTACCACCATCAGATTTTGACACGCTAACCGTTAATGTTCCCTAAAAAAAAAAACATCCAAGGTTTAAGTGCTAAACTCATCACTTATCTCTTCTGAAGTCGGCTTCAGTTTGGTGATGGCATGTCAGCTACGTACAGCATTATTCATGTCAATGTACTGTCTGTGGCAAACATGACATGAACCGTGTCAGGATTTAAATGAATTATGGACCGTCGTGATGTCATATGTTCAGCTTCCCTAACACTAATGTACGAACGACCGAAGTTTGACTTCTTTGTCGACACTCGTCCATTTTCCTTTTTGCTCATTCTGTTTGAAAGGCATCAGCAAAATTGGTACAAACTGAGTGAGAGTGTGTTTGTGCAGACTCTGTGTTTTCTGTCACAGCTCTGCGACGGCACCGCGTCTTTTATCCACTGCCTTCGCTCCCTCGTCTGCTAATTTGTCAAGAGCAGAATATGAAAATGTGCGTTTAAAGCTAGCTGTTAGAGAGAGAGACTTATCTTACATACTCCCAGCTCTACCACTGGTTCCTGGCAGCCATGCTAATTAGCCTCCTATGGATGTATAGCTACCGTTAGATACGTATTATACACCCCTAGTGTCTAAAACAGGCGGCAGACTTTTTGAATCAAGGACCACAATTGTCCTAAAATTGCACAGGGGGGCCGGGTCAGGAGCAGATAGATGGAGCATTCGTGTGAATTAAAATAAATGACATGTGAAAGTCATGCATAAAGGCTAAACGCCATCTATTGGGGAAATATGGGTATTGCAGGGAAAAGGCAGAAGTATATTGATAATATAAATAAATTATATATTATGGAAAATATGGCCGCATCCAGCCCCAAGGCCTAAGTTTGCCATGCCTGGTCTAGACAACTGCTTCTGTAAGGAATATATGCTAATATTACTCAGATATATGATGTTTTTCTATGACAGGAACTTATATTTAACTGCAAAACTGCAGAATAAATGATCTCCAGTGCACCCTGCAGGCCGCAGCGGTAATGACTGTGTTGTCATTGCTTTTGCCATAACCTAGTTCCTAATTTCCGGGCTCTTGTCCGTCATCCACAGTGTCCTCAGTCATCACACTGTGACCTATCGCATGAAATGCTCCAAGATACTTGGGAGTGAAATGCGATAGCGGAGTCAGCTAAATTAAGAAATGGCCACAACAGTCGTGATCAACACAACACGCCTCTGCTGGAATGCTGGGACTGACATTTGTGCGGAACTTGTGCACCAGTGAGGACGCAACACAGCTGCATGCACTTAGAAAAGAAAAAGAAACACTGTACATGACACGAGACAAAACAAGAAAAGACAAAACAGAGGAAACTGGTACTGACTTCTGAGTCTGTAACCATGTTGCCACAACAACAGCAAATACTTCTGAGCATCCTGATGTAATCTGAACTCTCTGACGAAGGACTGGCGAAGTCCAAAATATGAAAAAGCCAGTTCGAAAATAGCAATTGACGTTCAGTGTCCGACGTCAGATTTCCCCACTGCTGCAGGATCGTGAGGCCGAACCAGAGCCAACCGCAGCAGCAGGGGTTAATTAAAGGATGTTAGCAACAAATGAGCTGTCAGGACAGAGGCATCGATCGTCAATAACTGACCTGTAAATGCACCGAGGACTACACAGACTCTCTGTTAATCAATGCACTCGTTTACTCCTCTCTCTCTCTCTCCAACCACTGAATGAACCCGAGGGCAGGTTAAATGCCCTCCCGGGGCTCCTTACCCAGGTCTCTGTAGACCAACAGCAGTGTGCAATGACTGAATCTTATTTTAATACCGTTACAGAGCTGCAGCGTGGGTCAGTCAGCATGACCGGCGCTGCATTCCTGAAACCACGCCAGACTGGTTGAAGTGGTGTTTACACAACAGGAAAAGAAGGCGACTGCACAGAACTGGTGGCACAGCAGAGCACGGAGCAAGGGAGAAGGTCAGAGGAGGCATGTTGGAGTCTCACGAGGCCGACGCTGCGGAGCAAGCAGAGCTGCTCCAGACACCAGTGACAGTGAATGAGACTTTTAGTTGATGAAACTGGTCAAGTTTGAGTCCAGTCAAAATTGATTCCAGCCAAAAAATAAATAATTTTGTAATCTTAATTGGGCTTTGATAGCATATTATTGAGTAGGAATATATATATATATACATATATATATATATATATATATATATACATATATATATATACATATATATATATATATATACATACCTCGCTCCCCTCCTCCCCCTCTCCTTGGTGTTTGCATGCAGTCATTGCATCCAGCAGATCCTGGAGGCGGTGCTTCACTGCCACCAGATGGGCGTGGTGCACCGGGACCTGAAGGTAAGTGATGGTGGAACCACCGTGCTGCCCGGCTCCAAAGAGTGCTCGCACATGTTTTATGTCGAGTGTGTATTCTTTGTTTGACATGTCCACTGGAACCTGTAACGTTGACTGTCAGAGTTCAAGGTTCAAGGAGAGATGGGTGTATACCATATATACATATATACCGTAGTTATATATGTATATATGGTATACACCCATCTCTCCTTGAACCTTGAACTCTGACAGTCAACGTTACAGGTTCCAGTGGACATGTCAAACAAAGAATACACACTCGACATAAAACATGTGCGAGCACTCTTTGGAGCCGGGCAGCACGGTGGTTCCACCATCACTTACCTTCAGGTCCCGGTGCACCACGCCCATCTGGTGGCAGTGAAGCACCGCCTCCAGGATCTGCTGGATGCAATGACTGCATGCAAACACCAAGGAGAGGGGGAGGAGGGGAGCGAGGGAGGGAGGCGCATGTTAGTCTGAGCAGCGGTAACAACTGTCGTGCACAGGCCAGAGGTGTTGGGCGGTAAAGGAGTGAGGAGGAGGAGGAGGTAGGAGAAGGAGATTTTTTTTTTTATTGTGTCTCACTCAGCCATTTGAGCCACAGTGGACCATAAGACATCAGGGAGAGTTAAAATAGAGCTGTTATAATTTTCCGAATAAGGAGTGACGTCTCCACTCACGACTGGGATGGTCAACCTGGCGAACCACAAGAATTGACAAGAACTTATAAGAAGCTTCGGATCATAACCGTATCTGATCGTTTTTCAATGAGCGTAGCTGAAGTGTTTACGGTTAGAATCCCAGTCATTGAGCAAGTACCAAAACTCCCCTGGGTGTAGCTCCACGATCTCATGTGTCCGATGTGAATCACTGAGTCGTTTCAAGGAAGAGTTCAATGCAGAGAATCATGTTTTCTTAGGGTAAAGGTTTCCAAAGTGGGGGGTGTGACATTAATTGTGGATTGATTGCAGCAGGTCATTTAATTTAATTTTTGTAAAATGTGAAGTATTACTAAAAAACAAAAATCTCCAGAACTGAACAATTTTTCACTAACATCAAACCTTAGATTTCAGCCTTCGAGCCACAAACATTAACACAGAGTCGGTGTTTGAGTGATTTTTTTTTTTTTTCAATGCTTTTAGACGGTGAGTTTTTGCTGCCTTAGCAACCACTTCCAGGAACACAGACGTCTTGTGAACGTTTACTGATCATGGTCATCTTTATTTTAGTGGCAACAAAAAGAGAAAAACCTCTACATTTCTTCTGGGTTCGTCATTTAATTTTCAAGATTTAAAATTTACATTTGTTCAAACAGACATTTTCCTTGAAATTTGAAAAAAAAAAAAAAAATAAAGGTTCACAATTAATATGTAGCGTCAGGATATTTGTTTTTGTACAAATCGCTCATATCAAACATATAACGTTTAATGCAAGTGATTTTCCATCAAAAAAACAAATTACTAAACTATACTATACTATACTACAGTATACTATACTATCCTATAGTACTTCTTTACAGAATTCTGGGGGATGTCTACTGCTTATAGTTTTGAAGCAAAAGTTCAATCCAATGTTTGCTCTGATTCCAAAACTGTTAAAAGGTTCAAACACCTGAATAAACGTCAGTACAACTTGACAACTTGTTGGTAGTAAACCTGGGAGCTGTTCCACAGGAATAAACGGCATCAACGTAAAAATTGAGGACGGTATCATGAAAATGAGGTCGGAATAAAAACAGAGCTTAAAAAAAAATCTCTTTTTCTAGGGTCAGTTTTGGTGAGAGAGAGAGAGAGAGAGAGATTGCTGTAAAGTCCAGAGCTCTAAACTCAGACCCTGTGTCTTCTCTCTAAAGGTCTCCTGATAAATAAATACTAGCCAGGTCACAAATACCATCCAGATACTGCGAGGGTGTTGAGTGATCATGTGTCTGGAACCCTGCGGTCCAGGCGTCAACCACATCCTTTCACAAAATGTGTGGATGTGCAGATTTGTGCGTCCGGTATGTGTATGTTGGTGCGTGCGCTACTTTTTATCGGCTGCTCAGCCTTGAAACCCACAAAGTTAAAATCCTCCGTGTGTGTGTGTCACTCTCGTTGACATCGCCCCCTGTATGTGCTGCATTATTTTTCTTTTTTTTACTTGACTCAAGTCTCTTATCAGTCTACGACAAATACATTGAGTGACGCCATTTATGTGACTTACACTGTTCAGTTTGTTTTGTTTTTTTTGGGGGGTTTTTTTTGGCGCAAATAGAAAGATCAAATATTTAATGCAGTGTTTCCTAAACTTCCCAAACAAGATAATATTTTGTGCCCCACTTAAGGGCCGTGACCCAGTCTTTTGGAAACAATGCTTTAAATGTATCAAAATTTGCAAAATGCTAAATGTTAAAATTATTTTATAATCACTCATAACAGTAAAAATATTCTTATTAAAATCCACTACTTGGAAAATTGTGTTTATAAAAGTGACACATCCACATACAGTGGAAGATTTCCTATATATTTTATACTTATACCGGATGTAAATATATATACATATACAAGGCTAGTTCCTCGTGATCTGCCAGTCTAATATATTTGTATATAATGATGGAGAAGAGAACGAGAAAGGAAGACAGACAGAGTAGGGAGAGCGGGTGAGGCAGGTTAGGAGTCTCTAATTAACGTCTCAAAAAAAAAAAAAAAATCAATCCAGTTTGACATTAGAAATACAGGAAATATAGGAGCGCGTCGAGAGACGAGACAGACAGAAGAAGAGCAAACGACAGAAAGGGCTCAAACAGACGGAGGAGGGAGGACGAGAAAAAGGGAGGAATGGAAAGGAGCATGCAGAAGGAATCCCGGTGATGTGAGGGGATGCGGCGGGGAGGGGGGGCGTGAGGGATGCAGACGCTCCTCTACACATACTAACCTTCAGGTCCCTGTGCACTATGTCATGTTGGTGAATGTGATGGACACTGTCTAGAATCTGATGGATACAGTGACTGTGAAGACAAAACAGAGGGGGGGGGAGGTGGTTGTGGAAGAAGACCGCAGGGTATATAAGGGGAAGGGCAAGTGGAGGGGGAGAAAGAGAGACAGGGTGTGAGGTGACCAGTGTGACGAGCCGGGTCAAAAACAGGTGAAGGACAAGATGAACATGGAGAGAAGGTTTGGTTAGAAAAAAAAAAACACAGAAATGGACATGGAAAAAAATGCCAAAGACAGGAGGAAGAGGAGGAGGAGATTGATGATTAAGGAGGTGATGGTGGAGAGGAGAGGAGAAGATAAGAGAGGTGAGAAGAAGGAGGAGAGGAAATAGTAGGAGAAGAGAGGAGGGAAGAAGAGAGGAGAGGAGGAAAGAGGAGAGAAGAGAAGAAAAGAGGAAAGGAGAGGAGAGAAGAGATGAAGAGAAGAAGAGAGGAATGGAGAGGAGGAGAGAAGAAAGGAGAGGAGAGAAGAGGAGAAGAGATCAGAGAAGAGAAGAAGAGAGGAAAGGAGAGGAGGGGAGAGGAAAGGAGGAGGGAAGAGAGGAGAACAATTTTCTAGGTTTTTTGAGTTTTTTGAGAACCTAACCACGAGCAGGGAGTGTGAACTGATGCACCAACCCAACTGCAAACAGCCAATGAGATCAAAGGACAGGACACAGAAAGTTGTTTCCTTAAAAAAAATCACAACAATCCTGACAAAGAAAGAAGAAGTGAACTGTCAGAGTTGGATGAAGTGAGAACCCTGCATGAAACTTTGGTTGCATTCAGGTGACTTTGGTTGGTTTGACAATCCCGTCTGTTAGCTGAGTTTTACTGCAGTTATACACACTGACCCGCATCGCTCCTCCACTGAGCGATGACTGAACGTCTGACTGTCCAAAATTATGACATCACCCAGCACTGCTCTGTGCTATGTATTTCCCGCAGCTCACCTCAACCATGCTGACAAACAGAGCAGGTCTCTGTGTCACACCAGGACAGACCCTCACCCTCACGTCTACCCTCACCCTCACCTCCTCTGAACCTTAAACAACATCCACGAGCTTTCAGCGATCCAAAATACAACGCAAACCAAAAAAAGAAATCCCTTGAATGCATCCCGGTGGAATCCTCAGCTGAGTCAGATTGTAAAATTCAAATGTTTGTAGCAACGGCTATAAATGGCAGCCAACAAAAAAACGGCTGTGTAAGCACATTTTTTATTTTTACAATCCATTAAAGCAGAGAGAATTGTTTTGTTTTTTTTCTCCGGTTTTTTATTTTTTCCGCTGCTTTTTACCAATGCTTTTTAAGTTTTCAGTATTTCTACTTCAGTAATTGTGGTTCAGCATTGACCTTGACATCAACATCTACCAGAGATACTTTAGTTATTATTTAATTATTTATTAATATTATTAATTTAATTTAAATTAATTAAATTTAATTAAATTTATTAATTTATTAATTTATTAATTTATTAATTTATTAATTAATTTCATTAATTAATTAATTTCATTAATTTAAATTAAATTAATTTAATTATTTATTAATATTAATTATTTATTTAACTATATTTAGTTAGTAGTTTAGTTTAGTTAGTTTTAGATAGTTTAGTTTAGTTTGTGTTGAGGAAAGTGTGTTAATAAAGTAAAGTCACTTGGTGAAAGTGTGTTTTCAGGGATTTCTTTTTTGTGTGTGTGTTTTTGGTGATGTTTTACAAGATTGAGATACGAATCATGACACTCGTATAACAACTGTCATGTTTATAACAATAAAAATGTATAAAAAAAATAATTATCAATTAAGCAAGAGAGAGACTAATTACTGTGGCTAATTGAAGTCCTACTTCTTGCTGTCTCTGAGGATGAGGTGAGAGAGGGAGGGACTGGCCTGGATGACTCACACCTTAGGGGGACTTTTTTTTGTTGGAAAAATACAACTGTTGTGGGGACAAATTTGTCCTTGTAGGGACATTTTGCAGGTCAACACCGAGTAAAGGGGTATTTTTAGAGAGAAGATTTAGTGATCTTTAGAGTCAGGATTAAAATTAGATCATGATTATGATAATTAGAGACATATTTTCAATAGTTAAAGTTGGTCTGAAGAACACACTTGTTTTCTGGGGACCCATATTTTAAGTCACAAACCTTTGCGACCCGAGTCATTAACCTTAGTCGTAAACTCCTGGGAAACATGATGTGAGACGACACAAAAAAAAAAACTCTTGCGACCCAGTCTTTGGGAAAAAATGGTAAAACAAATACTGTTTTGTTCTGTGGGGATGTTTTTTTTGCTCTTAGCTGTTAACTTAACTTAATGACAGCAGCATCTGAGTCATTGATCCGACCACAGAGAGTGTTTTTCTCTGTCATCTCCGACCACTTCAGTTGAAACTCCACTTGAAACTGCATTTGTAAGATTTGTCCGGTGAATGACATCACTCTTCAACAACATTCATCCTCATTTTTTTTCTCTACGGTTGAGAGTACCAATCAGTCAAAGCCATGGGATTTGACCTTTTCACTGTGACTGACAGCTTTGACTCTGCACCACCCATCGGTTTCACTGCTGCCAGATATCAAGCAGTAAAGGTCATATCGTATCGTATCGTATCGTATCATATCGTATGTCTGTCTGTGAACGGCTGTGTGTATATGTGCGTGGGGCACACGCGCGAGAGAGAGCGGTAGCGAAAGTTGAGAGCAGTTTGTAGAATAGTACAGTATAGACCAGTACAGTACAGTACAGTACAGTACAGTACAGTACAGTTAATGCAGTAATGTTAAACTACTGCTTGTCCTTCCTCTAATCCCTCTAATTATGGAGTTTTAATTGAACTGAATGGACGAACACCAACATCACAACTGTCATTTTCAACTATCTTCTCACTCAAGTTTGTCCACACTTCTTCACACCACTGCTTTTTTTCCTTTTTTTTTTTTGTTTGATGACTGAGTCTGTGTTTGTGTGTGTATGAATTGCACAGTGTGTTCCTAGTTTGGCTACATTTGTGGGGACCCTTTTTAAGAGTGAAACATTATTGCTGTGGGGACAATTTGTGTGTGTTTAGTTTGTGGTGGAGACATAGCTGTCATCGTGGGGACATGTTTCAGGGACTCATCACTAGGTCAGAAAGTACAATATGTTTGGAGTTAGGATTAGAAATAGGACTGGTTTAGGCTTAGGGTCAAGAGTAAGATTAGGGATACCTCACAATTCATGAAAACCAGACTGTGTGTGAGTGTGTGTGTGTATGAGGATGAGTCAGCACAGCTGGTGCGGGTGAGATACCAGAGATAGGGGGTTGGGGGGGGGGGGGGGGGAAAGGCAAGTTAAAAAGAAGCCTTGGAGAAATCAATCAAAGATACTGTATAAGAGAAGAAAGAAGGAAGTATTTCACACCACAGGAAGTAAACAAACGGGCGAAAGAGGCAAAACAGTACAAGAGTACTACTATCAGTCACCGGACAGAGACAGAAATATATAGACTGTATGGTGTCTGAGCTATAAGATGTTCCTGAGACCATGTGTATTACTATCCTTGAAGGCCTGTTTGTTGTTTAGCCGTCGTGTTGCCACATTTTGGAAGGAATGCTCCACAAAAACCTTTTTTTAATATTCCAGGGATGGTTGTTTGTGCATAAAACTGTTTTCTCAAAAATGAAAAAATAAAACAGAATCCCACAGAGATATTCAAATGTGGAAGGCTAATTTTGAAATACAAAAACAAGATAAATTAGAAAATAATTAGAAAATAAGATGTGAATTTTGTAAGAACTTCAAAGATTGGGGCTGAGAGAACAAGAAACAGGAACAGAGTGTGGAACAAAATTAGATGATTAGGGACATATTTTCAAGTTGGTCTGAAGAACACACTTATTTTCTGGGGACCCATATTCTAAGTAACAAACCTTCGAGACCCAAGTCATTAACATTAGTCTTAAACTCCTGGGAAACATGATGTGAGATGACACAAAAAAAAACCCTTGCGACCCAGTCTTTGGGAAAAAATGGTATATATGAACATAACATATATTGTTTTGTTCTGTCGTTTTTTTGGGGTTTTTTTGCTCTTAGCTGTTGAACTTAATGACAGCAGCATCTGAGTCATTGATCCGACCACAGAGAGTGTTTTTCTCTGTCATCTCCGACCACTTCAGTTGAAACTCCACTTCAAACTGCATTTGTAAGATTTGTCCGGTGAATTACCTCAGAGAGAGCACTCTTCAACAACATTCATCCTCATTTTTTTTCTCTACGGTTGAGAGTACCAATCAGTCAAAGCCATGGGATTTGACCTTTTCACTGTGACTGACAGCTTTGACTCTGCACCACCCATCGGTTTCACTGCTGCCAGATACCAAGCAGTAAAGGTCACTCAGTCAAGCTAAGCTTTTTCTTTATGTGATTTTGTATATATTATTTTCACTGCATGTAGACTGCCGTGCCAAACCAAACATTCTGACGCTGAACATGAGAAAGTTAAATATATATATATATACATACACTATATTACCAAAAGTATTGGCTCACCTGCCTTGACTCATACTATGAACTGAAGTGCCATCCCATTCCTAACCCACAGTTCAGTATGATGTCGGTCCACCTTTTGCAGCTATTACAGCTTCAACTCTTCTAGGAAGACTGTCCACAAGGTTGAGGAGAGTGTTTATAGGAATTTTTGACCATTCTTCCAAAAGCGCATTGGTGAGGTCACACACTGATGTTGGTCGAGAAGGCCTGGCTGTCAGTCTCGCTCTAATTCATCCAAAGGTGTTCAGGTCGGGTTCAGGTCAGGACTCTGTGCAGGCCAGTCAAGTTCATCCACACCAGACTCTGTCATCCATGTCTTTATGGACCTTGCTTTGTGCACTGGTGCACAGTCATGTTGGAAGAGGAAGGGGCCCGCTCCAAACTGTTCCCACAAGGTTGGGAGCATGGAATTGTCCAAAATGTTTTGGTATCCTGAAGCATTCAAAGTTCCTTTCACTGGAACTAAGGGGCCAAGCCCAGCTCCTGAAAAACAACCCCACACCATAATTCCTCCTCCATCAAATTTCACAGTCGGCACAATGAAGTCTGAAATGTACCGTTCTCCTGGCAACCTCCAAACCCAGACTCGAATTATGGTGTGGGATTGTTTTTCAGGAGCTCTCCTCAACCTTGTGGACAGTCTTCCCAGAAGAGTTGAAGCTGTAATAGCTGCAAAAGGTGGACCGACATCATATTGAACTCTGGGTTAGGAATGGGATGGCACTTCAGTTCATAGTAGGAGTCAAGCCCGGTGAGCCAATACTTTTGGTAATATAGTGTAGATAGATAGATAGATAGATAGATAGAAGGTCAGAGATGAGGTGAGGAGGGAAGGAGTGGGGGGGGAGGGGGGGCAAGAGAAAAAACACAGAGGAAACCAAGACCGTCCAAAGGACAAGGGTGAGGGTTTGACTCCTACCTGGCGTCGGCCTCACTGTAATACTCTCTGGCTACGATGTCCTCAAACAGTTCACCTCCGGTCACCCTGTGTGACACACACACACACACACACAGTTACTTATGGATGCTTAGACTTGAACAAGGTGTGGGGGGCTCAGTGGGGTTGGTTTATGTGAACTTGGAATAAAAGTGCAACAAGAATGTCATCCACTACAACTATTTCGTGGTTGACAAAATCTTCATTGCATCTCTCTCTCTCTCTCTCTCTCTCTCTCTCTCTCTCTCTCTCTCTGTCATACTGTTACCATGGAAACTAGCCTGATTTGATGAGAGACGGTTGTGGATGGTGTGGGTGGTTGGGGGTAGAGGATGGGAGCAAATATAGGAGAGTTATCTAATTGTTTATAAAGAGAGAAGGGGGGAGAAGTCTCCCATCAACACCATGGAGAGAAGATGGGGGAGGAGGGAGAGGGGGAGGGGGAGTTGGTGGAAGAGTGGAATTTGAGGGAAGGGATAAAGGAAAGGAATCCAGAGGAGAGGTGAGGAACCAAGAAGAGAAGGGATGAGAAGGATGAGGAGGAGGGGGAGAGGGGGGGGGGGGGGAGAGGAAGAAAGGGGG